CCTCCTCCTCCTCCTCATCTCCTTCTCCTTGAGACTCCCCTAGGTCGACAATACTGTCTTCCTTTTCTGTCTCCCTCTCACACACCTTCTCCTCCTTCACCACATCTGCGCAGTGCTGAGAGAGGTGAAGAGCTCGGCTCTCTCTGTCCCCCTTTTCCTTACCGGAGCTGCGCTCACCAGATGTGCGGGCACAGCGTAAGGTGCTCTGATCTTGGTCTCCAGTATCTGGGCTGGGGCTCTGTTCCTCCGGGCTCTCCTCTGCTTGGGCGACCTGTCCTGGAGAAGATGGGGTTGTGCTAGATGTCACCCCAGGGCAGCCTGTGTCCTGAAAAACCTTTGGTTTCCCAAAGGGAGCTTCTGGCTGCCTATCAGTGTGACTGGGCTTCAGGGTGGGGGGCTGTCCAGAGTGGATTGGATATGGATGGGAAAGGTGGTGTTGGTGTTTTGGCTCGTAGTCAGTCTTTGTCCGATTTTGGTTACTATGACAACATTCATTTTGGTTAACCTTGGTGCTGGTGCCAGCAGAAGGCTGTTTGTGGACTGTTGGGGTAGACTCAATATCTGTGTCTGAATGTACAAGGTCAATGCACACAATCTTTTCTATGGATGTTACAGAGGAGGAAGAAGGGGCTTTGCTTTGACTGCCACTCTGTCCGTGTGCTCCTGCTTCCCTATCAGGCTTAATTTGGCTTCCTTCAATTATCTCTTTCCCACTATTGTGATCTCTGTGGCCCCCGCATTCTTCATGAGTTCCCCGGGATTTCTCCTGACCCCGGTGCTTTAAAGTAGCCTCTCCCCTTTCTGGCAGCTTGTCTGAGTGAGTCTGCATCAAGGGATGGGCCATCTCCTGTGAGTTATAAGTGAGGTATTCTCCTCCTGGACCAGCTGGGAGGTTGTGGTACGGTAATGGGTGTTTTGCTGCTGCCAGGTGGGTTGGGTAAAGGCTGTTGCTGCCCAGCAATACTGGGTGAGGGTAGACTGGGCCTTTCCCTGTAATTGGCAGGGAGTGTAGTGCCATGCCATCAGGGATGGGGTAGTGCAGGTATCTATTGGCATATGCCAAACTGTGATTCAGGTAAGTCTCACTTTGAGGAAGGTAAAGGTGGCCATTCTCTAAACAAGGCCTCTTGTATGATGACACCTCTGGAGTTGTTTCACCTCTCTTAGTGATCTGGGAGGACTTCTCCATTCCCTCTCTGTGGTGGCCCACGACTGTTGGATGTTCTGATTGGCTGGGGCTGGATTTAACCCAGTCACCATTGGGTTTAGGAGAATGAGCCCTGGAGTTGACCAGAGAGGAGTGTTGAGTGGAGGAAACATTATGGTTCAGCTCCCCTATCCTTGGACAGGATGAGCTACGTTGCTGAGGGAGCACTCTCTCCAGACCTTTGTGTTTGATGACAGAGGGCGAGGACCCTTTTGCTTGTGAAAGGCCCAGGTCTGTGTTAGGCCTTGGGGAAGGGGGCAAGCCTGGTGTGTGCTGTGTATGGGAAGGAGATGGGCTAGGTACCACCCAGGAGGAGTGTAAAGTGCTGATCATCTCTGGCCTCTCTGAGACCTTTGAAGAAGTGCTGCTAACCACAGAGTGAGGATGGGAGGAAGGAGAGAGGGGTAGGTTTTCCTTTAGGAGCTCTCTGCTAGAGGGCAGTCCATAACGTGCACCTGATGCTATAGTGTCCATCTTAACTGTGAATCCATTCGGAGGCAGTCCAAACTCCAGTATTCTTCCAGACAAATCCAAGGGCTTCTCTGCTGAGTCTTTGGTTGCTTGGGGTTGGTGAGCTGGCCTCTCAAAATTTGGTTTGGAGGGTGATCTGCTAGGTCTCCTCTCAACCCCTACACTTCTGTGCTCAGGTGCCCCATCTCTTGGCCTAGGTTTGTGGGGGCTGGGCCGGGCAGGAGAGGGCTGCTCTGATGCCATGCTGCTCACAGAGAATGGATGAGGAATAGACTGCGTGGATGAGGATGAAGCAGATATCGAAGAATTGGAGGAGGTGGGTGGTTGTCCTATCCTAGGGACTGGCCTTTGTAAATCCAGTGAATTGTCAATGAGAGCAGGGGGAGGGGGAGGTTGGGGGAGGCGAGAAGATGCATGAGGTGAAGAATCAGTAGGCAGACTATTATTATTCCCGACATTGGTGCCACTAGTGCTAGTGCTACTGTTGTTGTTGTTGCTGCTAGGGCCCTTCCTAGAGGGAGGTCTGGTTGGTCTGCTGCTCCTGCTTGGGGACCGGTCCCTATCGATAGCAGCCTGATGGTGCTGAGGATGAGGGGATGGTTGGTGAAGCTGCTGTGCAAATTGAGGTGCAACACCGAGCCCCTTATCCTGGCAGTGTACCAGCGACGTGGGGGCCACTGTGACTGCAGGAATCCTCATAGGGGGCGCAACCAGGGGAGAGGAGATTGGAGAAGGAGGATAGGGGGGCATATAGTAGAGCCTCTCAGCAGCAGAGGCGGCTGCAGCAGGGTTGACATTGCCCCCCTGGGCTGCACACAGAGAAGGGTATGCCAGGTGCTGGGGAAGATAGTGGCTGGGTTGGCCAAGCAAGGAGGCTTTGTACATGCTTAGAGCCGCGTACTTGGATGTGTCCATAAAGGGATACATGCTTGCTTCAGGGTAGGGGCTGAGCCATGGCAGTCGGAGGTAGCTGCCACCAGCACTTGCAAAGCCCAGTTCAGATGCCTTTTCTCCAGGCCCCACTCTGCGTTCCAAGCCTAGACCTTCAGCTCCAGGAACCAGCATAGGCTTGTGGAGACTTGGAGGGGTGCCCTTGTAAAGGCCCAGGTATCCATTAGTGGGCTTACGACTGTCCAGGGGGCCATCAGGCTTGTAGATGAGCTCTGGGATACCATCCCTGCTATAACTGAGGGGGAGTCCGGGCGTCTCTCTGTTCTTCTCCGCTGGCAGTGCTCTCAGTCCTTGGTATACAACCCCACCATGAATGCGAAGACCATCGTGCATCAGGGTGCCTCGGTCCAGCCCCATCGCTGCCAGTGGCGTTAACCTTGCATCCACCTGCAGCAAAAAGGGGATACCAAATAAGTAAATATGACGATCACAGAAATCAGATTCCTCAAAGAAAATGTGCAAATTATGACAAAGAATTACTGCTAAACAAAGCACAAAAAGATTTTAGTGTTAGGTTAGTATTATTTCCAGATAATAGCGACTTATGTCTGTATAAAGGGCACTGGGGACAAGGACAGTGACTTGCCATGGTTTGTGTGATGTGGTTCCCTTGTCTTAGTTCCAGGTTGGTTTCTGTCTCAGCATCGACATCACGAACAGATGTTGCCCTGTGGAGATGAGCAAACCGTTAGCAGTCAGTGTCTTGGCTCTACCACACACACACACACACACACAAAGCTCTGCTGTAATCCGACTGCCAAAAAAAAAAAAAAAAAGTCAGATCATAAAATCTCCAAAAAGAGAAATTACATAGAAATTAAGTATTGCGAATTTTCCAAGTGTGGGATCAATAAAGTCT